ACACCAGGCTCAAGTACCATGACTTTACGAAGAACAAGGTCTCCGACGCGGAGGTTCCGCTTCTTGACCCTGGCGTTATAGTACCGAGTTACTCTCTACTGGTAGGTCACGGTCCTAATGTATGCGAGGTCCCGTACCTCGTCAAGTAGGTCAAGGTTGGTGCATAGCTCGTCCCCATTTGCTTCGTCACCGTACGCTTCCAGACGTAGCGTGGGAACCTCGATCTCGGCTGGGATGACTGCCTCGGTGCCGTAAGTGAGGTTGAAGGGGGTCTCGCCTGTTGCGGTCTTCACCGTAGTTCGGTATGCCCATAGTACGTTGGGCAGCTCGTCTGCCCACAGTCCCTTAGCTTGGTCTAGGTGTGCCTTCAGTTTGCGGAGAATGGCTTTGTTTGTGACCTCCGCTTGGCCGTTCGCTTGAGGGTGCGCTATCGTGGTAAAATTTTGTTGTATTCCCATATCATTGCACCAGTTCTGGAATTTAATATCCTCGAACTGCTTGCCGTTGTCAGAGATGAGTACTCGGGGTAGCCCGAAACGGCACACTATATTCTTCCAGAAGAAGTTCTGCACATTTCGCGTTGTGATCGTTGCGAGAGGTTCGACGTCCACTCACTTGGTGAAATAATCAACTGCTACAACTAAGAACCTCCTCTGTCCTATCACTGGTGGAATTGGTCCGAGTATATCGATCCTCCATTGTGCGAAGGCCATGGGCTGGTGAGGTACTTTAGGTCGGCAGCGAGCTGGTGGTGGATATTGGCGTGCTTCTGACATTTATCACACCTTTAGACGAACTTAATCGCATCTGCCTTCAATGTTGGCCAATAATGTCCCTGTCGTAGCACTTTCTGGGTGAGGGCCCTGCCCCCCAAGTGTCCGCCGCACAAGCCCTCATGAGTGTTACAAAGTACGAGCTCGGCTTCGGAAGGTCGCAAGCAACATAGATAAGGGAGTGTGTAGTATCTTCGGTACAGCCGCCCGTCTATTATGATGTATTTGGCTGCCTGATGCTCTATCCTTCTGGCAGCATTACAATCTGTAGGGAGGGTCCCGTGTAGCAGGTAGCTCGCAAGTGGATCAATCCAGCTCGGCTCTGCTTGTACGATAGGAGCAACCTCCTCTACCCCCCTGAGAATGCTAGGCCGAGGCAGGTTCTCTATGTACACAGTCCTCATGGTGTTATCGCTTGTGCTGGCTAGTCGGGACAGGGCGTCGGCCTCAGCGTTCTTGGATCTCGGGATCTGTTTGATGAAGTATGACTGGAAGTTGAACAGATCCTCCCTGACTTTGGCTAAGTAGGCGACAATGGTTGGCTCGCGAGCTTCGTACTCGTCGGTGGCCTGGTTGACCACGAGCTGGGAGTCACTGCAGATAACGATGTGTTTGGTTTTTACTTCATTTGCTAGGGCCAGTTCGGCTATCAACGCCTTGTACTTTGCTTCATTGTTGGATGCAACGAACTCGAAGCGTAACGCATACTCCAATTTCACGTCGTTTGGTCCGTACAAAACGATTCCAGCTCCGCTGCCCTGCTGATTTGATGAGCCATCAACATGGAGGATCCAGGGCTCCTCATCCCAAGTCGGGTTCTGTCTAACCACGAGAGAGGCCGCGTTAGTTGGAGTTCCCTCGCTGTGCTTGGGCTCGGCTAACATAGGGACCTCGGTGCTAAAAGTGCATTCTGCGACGAAGTCAACTAAGGCTTGGGCCTTGATAGTAGTTCGCGGCTTATATTGGATGTCATATTCGCTGAGTTTGCTAGCCCACTTTGTCAATCTACCGGAGACCTCGAGCTTGAGCAAGACTTGCCTCAGAGGCTTATTGGTGAGGGCGACGATCGTATGCATAAACGCAAGTATGTGCTTGGTGTGCCTTGTGCCTTTAGTTAAATGTTGCAATTTTTTTTTTGCATTTTTTAAGCTTGGTGGCTAGGCCAGGTTCTTTGCCCTCAAACCCTTGCCACCTAGAGGCAAAGCCAAACAAATCTATGCTAAAGTCCTAAATCCTTAATTTATGCACAAAATATTGATTTTGTAATTTTAATTAGAATTCCTTATCTTTAAAAATGTCTTGTACTAAGAAGGATGAATATACAATACTAGTAAAAATGGTTTGCTCGCCAATGCTTCCCCCCCCCATATGAGGGAATTAGACTTGTTTATGGGCTAGGTAGACGGATGGCCCGGCCCGCACTTCGGTCGGGCTTGGTCATGTAATTAGTCCCGCGGGCTTGACCTCGGGCCTAACACAGTAAGCCCGATTATGTTTCGGTCCGGGCTCGGGATTTGTCAAAAAAACCCAGTCCGAGCCTGGCCCGACCCGATTTAGCATTATATATTTTATAAAATATATAATATGTATTTTATATATTATATAAAAGATATAAATAATATAATATTTATAATTTAATATATACATTTTTTATTCTTTTCTTTATAATTTCTCTCCCTCTCTCTCTCTATATATATATTCAGCTGCTTCAGTAGTAGTAACAATATGGGTTAAATTTCGGACTTGGGCCCAGGTCTGGGCTTCGGGCTTTTTATGAGGGCCAATCTTGGGCCTAAGTTGTAGGCCCGATGGTCGGGCTCAAGCCTTAGAAAAATCTGTTAATACAGAATGAAACCCCGGCCCGGCCCTTGAACAGGTCTACGGGAGAATGGCCATTCTAGCCACTCCCCTTGGGAATGAGATTCTCATTCTAGAGTTTCTTATGAAGTAAAGAACTTGTGACAAAGTAATATTAAAAGTATATTATTAAAGTAGTAATAGTAGCAATAATAATAATAATAATAATAATAATAATAATAATAATAATAATAATAATAATAATAATAATAATAATAATAATAATAATAATAAACCCTTATTTCAACAACCCTTAAAAGAAGGATAATAGTAATAGTAGCAATAATAATAATAATAGTAGCAAACCAAACTAACCCTTATTTCAACAAGAACCATTAAAGAAGGATACAATCACAACCCGTCAACTTGGACAATTTTTGTTTTGTTCATGATAGAAAAATTTAGCGAAAATTGATCCCTAAGCTCCATTTTGTTCTATTTTAGCAATTGTCTACTTGTCATTGGACTTGTACTCCGTTTTTTAGTTAAATTCCATTAATGAAATTCTTATTGTTACCACAAAAACAACAACAAAGATGAATTTCATTACAAAATGAATTTCATTATGAGTAATGACTATCATATCTATTCATCCTTTTACATTTCTGCACTAGCCTCCAAATAAGAGTTATATTATTGATTCCAATGAAAGATAGAACTATGCTTACTTCCTTGTACTTCTGTTGTGTTTGGTTTGAAAGAAAAAGGTAGGGAAACTTATACCTTTCCCTTCCTTTACCTTTTCTTTCAAACCAAACTTAGCTGAACATGAATGCCCCATTTTTTGGGTAAGTTACAAAGACCCCCTTGTACTACGGGGTTAGTGACAAATACTCCCTGAACTTTCAATTGTGATAAAGACCTCTGTGAATTTTTACTTTACAACAAATATCCCCTAACCGTTTAAGCTAGATGATGAAATACGGTACATTACAAAATGCCCATCTGAACTTTCCTTATATTCTTTTCCTCGCCCTTTTCTCTTAAACTCTACTTGACCAAAAATAACTCCATTTTCTCCAAATGAACCCAATTAAAATAACAAGTCATTTTAATATAAAAAATTCCATTCATTTCTCCAATAAATCAAGAAAAACTAAACAAAATTATTATATCTATTAGAAAGAAACATCTACCATTTCATTTGAATATTGAATCCAACCAAAATTGTTTGAGGCTTTATTAGGGCAACCGAGAGGGCTTCAATGTTATATTTAGGTGGAATTTGGGAGTGCCTATTTGAAAAGTGAGTGTTTGGTAAAAAAGAACATAAGCCTAAAATTTGAGCTTTTTCCAATAAGTGCTTATTCAGGCTTATTTCCCAAATGAAAATAAGTGTTTATTGGTGTGGTCCTAATTCCTAACCCAAAATAAATGTTTATTTGAATATTTTTCAAGAACTCCCAAACTTAACCATAAAATCATAAATTGTTCAAATGAATAAGAAAAAAAAATAATTTGGGGATTTAAAATATTTTAAACAGTTGAAAGTTAAGGGGGTCTTTATTATAAATGAAGTTCAAGATGATTTATTTAATCATTTATCATGGACAGTATAGGTAGTTTTTGTATTTTACTTTTTTTTTATCAAATGAAATTTCCACACCACTTACGACACAAAATCATGTACACCATTATTTATCACGAGTGAACATGCCAGTATTCAGTATAGATGAATCCACAATAAACATTGGCGTATTTACTCATGATAATTGATAAATAACTCATCCCGACCGATGTATAGTATTTTGGGGTTCGGATGTAGTAGGCACGCTAGGTAAGCATAATGAGTGAGCACGTAATAGCTGTGTGACACATGTCCTAGTTAATGTGCTTTTTATCCAAACATTTTTGTTTCGTTAGATATAAATTATCCATTATTTTATTATCTTTGTCAAAATAATTAAAAATAAAAAACAATAAAAAAAGAAAACGTAAATGATTATCAACTCCCAACATGTTTAGGTTTTCCTTTTTCATTGTTTTTATTTTTAATTATTTTGACAAAAATAATAAAATAACAAATAATTTTTACCGAAAGGAATAAAAATATTTAGATGAAAGATAGATTAACTGAGACATATGTTACACAACTATTACGTATTCATTCATTGTGCTTACCTACCATGCCTAATACAACCGGACCTAGTATTTTGTCTCCAACTCATCAGAGTGCTTACCATTTGGGACCCGAGTTTCACGATAGCTAACTTCGTTTCTTAATACATCAGAATTTAACGAGATAAATGGTTTGAAATAAAATGCATTCGATCAAGAAAAGCAAATCGAAGCCAGCCCGTGTTAAATTGTGGGTTGGGTCGGTGCGCGCTCGGGTTGGGCCCGCAAGTTAAAGCCAAAAGAACTCAAACTTCCAAGAGAAAGCCTGCGTATTACGCCATCGGCGTAGTTTATGCCTTTTCCATACATAGCTAGCAAGAGCGTTTCCGACACACGCCAAGAAGAAAAACCCTCCCACCGCCTCTCTCTTTCTCTCTCTCACCTTCTTCCATCTTTCAGGTAGTTTCAGACTCTCAGTCGTCCTTGGACTGATAGTAGTGCTATAAATAGAAGATTTTTTTTTTGGTTTAATTTTCTCTATCGATTTCAATATTCTCTTTGTCGTTTCTTTTCTGTAAAACTTCCTTTTCTCTTCTGTTTTGTGAATACAGGGGTTAGGATTTTACTGATACCGATCTTCTCTTCTGCAATAAGCAATGGCGGATCGATTGACTCGAATTGCCATCGTCAGCTCGGATCGTTGCAAGCCTAAGAAGTGTCGCCAGGAATGCAAGAAGAGCTGTCCGGTCGTTAAAACAGGTGCGGGAAATTCCATAAATATATTTCGTTTTTCCGTTTAACTAATTTTTCTTTTTTGTTCGTACTTGTTTTTATTTTTCAGTTCTTTTTCTCTTTCGTTTTTCCATTGGGATTCAAATTTCCTGTTCAAAATCTGCTTAGGCTCAATGAGATAATAGGAGATCTGCAAGAACTCAAGCTAGAAGCTTGGAACATTACTTTTTTCAAGTGAAATCTAGTTTATTTAATATTGGAATATTGTATAGGACTGTGATATATTTCATATGCAATGGAACGTACTTGATTTTTTTATCCATAAAAAATTTGTATTTTTGTAGAAAGGTTAAGTATACACTTTTTTTTAGCAAAAATAAGAAGAAAAGAGTGGTTTTATTTGAACTATAATAGAAACCAGGGGCTAAAGCAGCCCCACTATATAAAACTTATGGCTGTTCATCTAGCCACATATACAGCATTTACAACCAATAAATTACCCCCGGGCCTTCAATAATGATTGAGCTTAAGGCCTTTGAACCCTTTCCAAAATTGCATTGCTTCTACTCTGAGATCCTCTTGCTCCTCTCCTACAAATGTACCAGCCTATAAAGAATGATGCATTATTCCACGTACGGCATGAGGTAACTAAAGGGGGAAAAGTTTGAGGTATAACGAACAACCAATCAAATGACTTAATAAAATGCCACCACATGCTTGTGGGAAAGAGTCAATGGATTAGAAGGTGATCAATTTTCCTCCTGCTACAGAGGGAAGATGCATTCTGAATATTTGTCTCCCTAGATATCAGTTGGTTATTGCCTCAATTGTAATAATCTTACTATCAAAATCAGTTAATATAAAAAAAAGAACATACCTTTGGTGAAACATTATCGGTCCGTATCCACTACCACCATGGGGAACTCTGGATCAATATAGAGAGATGCAAAGAATAATTTGACTGAGAACCTACCATCAGGGGGAAGGTCTCAGTTTTCCTCCTGCTACAGAGGGAGGATGCATTCTGAATATTTTGCTCCCTAGATATCAGTTGGTTATTACCACAATGGTAATAATCTTACTATCGAAATCAGTCAATATATAAAAAGGACATACCTTTGGTGAAACACTATGAGTCCATATCCACCATCACCACGGGGAACTCTGGATCAATATAGAGAGATGCAAAGAAGAATTTGACTGAGAAGTGAGAACCTACCATCAGGGGAAAGGTCTCAATATCATTCTTGCTCGTCCTTGCGTTCAGGTTTGACACAAGAACCATTAAGGTGGGCTAGCATCTTAATGAGCTTATCTATTTCCCAGTCATTGAAATATTTGCATAATTGGGGAATCCACACCTCATAGCATTCAGATTTCAGACACAACACCTTCCTTCCTTACCGTCAATTATAGATCAGTGTGACTTCATCTTTTAAGTCATGCCCCCATGACATCTCTCCAACCATTATCACACTTAATCTCCCCTCCTGACCTCATATAAGCCACAAGGTTTAAATTTTGGTGTTGGTGAAATGTTGGTCATCCAAAATTCCAAATATAGGAAATATGTCGGAAATGTTGGAAATATCATATGGAAATGTTGTAAAAATTAGACATGGTGGAAACATTATTAAATATGCAAAAATGTAGAAAAATATTCTATGAATCGATAAAAGGGAAACTTTTTAAAATTATTATCTTGTTCTAAATCATTAAACAAAGCTAAGAAACTAAGATTTTAGACAAAATAATACATTGTGAAGTTGCCCTGTAAAGCTTAAGAATCAAAGTTACATGATAAAACGAGTTAAAGCAAAATTTAAACTCATAGAAAAGCCAAATGATTCCAATAGATGAACTAAATAATCTATTACACAATCAACCACTAATATACAACTTTATGTTTGAAAAGAATATAGATACAACTCAAAGCGGTAATCATGTCCATTAGGTAGGTAATAACATTGCTACTCCACATATTTACAATATTGTAATCAACTTATGCTATAATACTATCTCTTATACTCAACATAGTGGTAGTAGTGTTCAGTGGGGAACAAGTTGATTCCAATAAAATTTTGTGTTGGTCCCATGGAAATGGAAATATGTTGCAGAAATATTAGGAAACTTGTGGACATTTTAAACCATGATAAGACGTGCTTGAAGAAATATAAAGATTAGGATCTAGATGCCTCTAATGATTGTCGAACCAGCTAGTCACCTCCATATTAATTGAATTTGAACGTCCTATCTCACATGGCAGACCTTCAATGACAATAACCTTACATTCATCCCTATTTAATGACCACAACTCAATTAACCCAAGGCTTTCTATGTGGAGAGCAGGGTTTTCAGATGTATACAAGGTGGCTTCAAGGTAAGTTGGTGTTTCAAAAGTGCAAGGGCCTATTAGTGCTTGAGGTGCAAGGTGTGGCCTGCACCTCTTGGAAGCAAAGTGCAGAATTGTGAAAAAAAATATTCAAAAGAATAAAAAATTAGAAAAAATGAACATGAAACATAAAAAAGCAATTATACATTAAAAAATGCAAACTTGAATATTAAAAGAAATTGAATGATTTAAAAAGTCAAAGCCTATTGAGCCATTGGCTCAAACAAAAGTACATAAACTGATGAACATGAATACGTAACATATTAAACATATTCTATTGATAAAAAAAGAAAAAGAAAACATCGAAAACATATTCTAAGCGAAAATGTGGAAGTGAAAGCAAACATACGGGAATTGTACCTACTACCAGGTTCTTAGAGGTGTAAATCGGGTCGTGTCGGGCTGGCACTACATGACCTGCGGGCTGGATTGGGCCGTGCTTCCCTCCCTTGGGGTACTTCGGGGGGTCGGCTTGGCAAGGCCCATGGCCTGTGCTCGTGTAGGCTCATGTCGGGTCGGGCCGTGCCACGAGCCTGGGCTGGGCCGTGTAGTGGGCCTGACTCGTGTTAGGCTCGGCTATGTTGCTACAGGTTGGGCCTTGGGCTTGGGCCAAACTGGGCCAAACAATTGTTTTTGTTTTTGTTTTTTAGACATTTTGATTTTTTTCTAAAATACTTCACTTTCCTTAATTCAATAATTCCTTTGAGCTTTGTGAACAAATTGGAAAAAATTGTGAATTTTTCCTATATTTCAATAATACTTTGAAATTGTGGATTTTTCCTATATTTTGCAAAACATTCACTAATTATAAATAATTGATTAACTAAAAGACAACTAGTTGAGTAATAAACACTTGAAAATTCATTAGTTGCATCATAAAAAATTTGTAAAAAATCTTTTATACAATTTACCATTTCCCAATCTTCCTCAAGTATAGGATCGTGTGACATTTTTGCATTATAAAAATCACTAAGAATTTGTTTGTATGCAATACAACTTTCTAACATTGAATAGGTAGAATTCCATCTATGTTGAACATCTAATACAAGATATTTATATTTTAAACCATAATTTTGACATAAATATTTAAATTGCTTGTTTTCTTGCTCCATAACTTTTAATATATATTATACAATTTCTAATTTTAGAAATATGATGAGAAATAATATTTAAAGCATCTTGAATACATAAATTTAAAATGTGACATGCACATTTAATATGAAATAATCTACCGTATAAAAAATGTTTTAATTGAGATTTTAAAATATTTATTGTTGAATCATTATTACTAGCATTATCAATACTAATAGAAAAAAAGTTTATTTTCAATTCCATAAATATGTAAAGTATTTAAAATACTTGCAGCAATAATTGGGCCAATATGTGGCCATTCAAGCCTAGTAAAAATTAAAATTCTTTTATGTAAAAGCCAATTTTCATCAATAAATTGACCGGTAACACAAATATAAATTATGTTAAATCTAGATGTCCAAATATCGGAAGTAATTGCAATTTTAGAATTAAGATTTGATAACATAGAAATTAAAATTTGTTTATATGAATAAAAAAATTTTAAAGCATATGTTCCAATAGTAGTTTTAAAAACTTTTTTAAATTGCGGATTTACAAATCTATGTAAAAATTTTTCAAATTTAGTACCTTTAGCTAATAAAAATGGATGTTAAGCATGCACAATATATTTTGCTAATTCTTGCCTCATTTTTTCTTGGGAATATTTAAAAGTACCAAAGACCTCACTTCCTATATGTGCTTGTGATGTTTCTTTCCCTTTTTCTTCTTTCATCAAATGGCGTTTCAAATGTTTGTCCAAGTGGCTAGTACCACCACTACTACTATAGCTAAAGTCATTCCTACATTTTTGACAAACGACTCTCTTTCCCTTCCCCTCAACCTCTTTTATTTTAAATATTGTCCAAACTGGGCTAATCAACTTAGTGTTCTCCTTTTCTTTCCCCTACCTCTAGTAGCAATACTAGGGTGGAACGTTGGCAATATCAACAACAACATCCATTTCGGTGCTAACACTATCATATGAACATCAACATTGTCGACATTGACTACGCTAGGGAATTGGTGTCGAGAGCGAGAGGAGGATCCGACCTTTTTTTTAATTATAAAAAATAAAAATTAATTTAATTGCACTTCCTGGATTGCCGGTTTGGAATTTCAACTTGATTTCGATGGTTGAACCCTCCAAGTCTCCCAAATTGCTAACTTGAGACACCTGAGGAAGCCTTCTTCTTGTTGAAACTTGGATCAAGTTGATAATTGGAGAGTAGAGAGAGTATGAAAGTATATGTGAGAAGTGAGAGTATGATGTAGAGACTAAGAGGCTAAGAGAGTATGAGAATTAGTGCGATGAGAATGGTGGAGGATAAGGATATTTATAGGAATTGAAAACAATTTAATTCCCCAAAATACCCTAAAAACTAACTATTTTTATCTTTTGTGAGGGGTATTTTGGTTATTCATTTATCACTTTACCTAAATACCCCCCTAAACTATTTGTTATATAGTTGTTGGGGGGGCATTATTATCATTTTATCTCCCTCCAAAGCCAAAATACATAAATACCCTCCTTATATAGCTGTTGGGGGGTATTTTTGTAAACCCCCACCCCAAAAAGTTGAAACTAGTCATTGGGAGGGGGTCTCCAACGGCTAGTCTCCGAATGGGCCGAGTGCGGCCCACTGTGGGCCACAGGCGGCATGGCACAACACCCAGCCCGCCGACCTAAATCCCCAAGCCTGGCATGACCCATCGGCCTAGACAATCGTGCTGGGCCGTGGCATGACCCGTGAACCATCGGGCCGGGTTGGCTCAAAATCATGCTGGGCCGCGGGCGGCCTGACCCAATTTACACCTCTACATGTGCTTCACGCACAATTTTAGTTTCAGAATTAATATTCGGGATCATGCATTTGATGCATTATTGTTGCTTCTTTAGGGAAATTTTGCTATTTGAGATCCTATTTGCAAGAAGTAAGGCTTTAAGTACTTGAAAGGTCTTTGTTTTTGTTTATTTTAAAGGTTAATAAACTATTACTAGCGCACAAACGACAACAAAAGTTAATTTAAAAGTTGATACACCATTAAAAAGTGTAAAACAAAAAAAGAATCCACAAAAATGCAATTTTAAAAAGGTGTGCACATTGTCTTTGGTGGAAGGCACATCAGGTGCATACCTTGAAATGCAGCTCACTTGTGTGCTTTTTAAAACATTGGGTCAGGCATCCTTAAAAAAATGCACTAAGGTGCACTACTAAAGCACTCACGCTCAAGATACATGAAGCATATGCGATGTGTAGATGAAGTCTGTGCCTGCTTGGCATGAATGTGCAAAGAGGGAGTTCAGCACGACATGATTTTTCTTTTTATTTTAAGAAAATTGCAAAAATGAAAAATTAAAAAAATAGCAAGATAGACAACAAATTGAAAAAAATATATTCCACATGAATTTTAATTTATACAATATTACAATTGTTCATATATGAAATAATAAAATGAAATTGAAAAAATTACAATGAAAATATAATCATGCACATATTAATATATATGTGTGTGTGTGTGGGCTATGCTGGCCTGTGGGCCTAAACCCCCTAAGCCTGGCACAGCTCAGTACTGTATAGCATGTGGGCTGTGTTGTGCATGGCCCCAGTCGTTCTGGCCCAGAGGCAGCCCAGCTTGTTTTACAGCTATAGATGCACTTCAATCTTGAAGCATATACACCATGATGCAGCCTTCAGAAAGGTCAAGAAACAAAAATAGTTTTTGAGATAGTAGTGATTTATTTGCAAGGTACAAATGGTTCCTCTTGATACTCTTATGACTTTGGAAGTTTGGAATGATGTGGTTGATGCGGTTAATGAAATCTTAAGGTTATGGTTAGATTAATTGAGGTATCTATTTTGGTGATTTAGTTATTTACTTTGTTCTTAGGTGAGTCATATCATAAGAATATTCTATGTATTTTGGCTTCTTTCATTTGGTCTAAGGTTGCATGAATACAGAATAGCCTTTATCATGTTAAGATTTAGATTTTTTTTTTTTTTTTTTTTTTATGGATTCCAAGTAGGTGAATGGATACTTTGCCATCTCTAGTGATAAGTAGGCGATAACATGATATGCTGACTACTAGGTGATAGGAATAGGTGACAAGTACATGGTGCAATGGAAAGGCAAAACAAGCAGCTGATAACTTCTCAGTCCAAGTCTATACATTTGTATGCTCTGATCTTATGAAAAATGGGACTCATATGATTGCTAGCATTTCTAGCAGATACCTTATTGGCACACACTTGATCTTTAATGTCCTGTCATAAGCATTCAGTTTCCGTTAAATAAAAGAAATGAGATGTTGTAACTTGGTTCATATTTTTGGTGCTACATTTTTTTTTTTAATTTTTCATTTCTACTGGTATCTCTGCAGGTAAACTGTGTATAGAAGTCACACCTGCATCTAAGATTGCTTTTATTTCTGAAGAATTATGCATTGGATGCGGTATCTGTGTCAAGGTTTGTAAAATAGTATTTGTGTCTTTGTCTCTTGGACCTCTGATTATTAGTGAACTTACATGGTATAAGTTAATTATATTTGTTGATGCAGAAATGCCCATTTGAGGCCATCCAGATCATCAATTTGCCAAAAGATCTGGATAAAGATACAACCCATCGTTATGGCCCAAACACATTCAAGTTGCACAGGTTGGTATTCAAGATCAGCTCCTCAATGTCAAAGATTGACTGTTGGCTTTAATTCAAGCAATCTGAAAGTTGCAATTACAGGCTACCCGTTCCAAGACCTGGGCAAGTTCTTGGCTTAGTTGGAACAAATGGCATTGGAAAATCCACTGCACTCAAAGTTTTGGCTGGGAAACTGAAACCTAATTTGGGTCGTTTCAATGTAATGTGCTCTCCTGAAATTTTCTCGAAGTTTTATTCTTTGATGCAGTTGATGGGAAGACTTTTTTCTGTCGTATGTGATGTACTATTACTATTGGTGTTTTGCAGAATCCCCCTGATTGGCAAGAAATATTGACTTACTTCCGAGGTTCTGAGCTGCAAAATTATTTCACGCGTATTTTGGAAGACAATTTGAAGGTACTTGTCTTTTCATATGTAGTTTAAATATGGTTGTAGCCTATATGACTTGGTTATCCAGATTCCTGGCCTAATATATAAGATTGATGGACCTGAGACGGGATGGAGTAGGTAGATTACACTTGAACTGATCTTTGCTATTGTGCACCTTAGCTTGAAGTTTGTCTTATTTTTGTTTGTTGGTTGTTCAGTTTGCTTCTAGAAGCTTGAAAAATCCTTTTAGCATTTATGGGAAGTGGAAACTGTCCTTATGATGATTTTATAAATGCTAGAAGCAGAGAGACTAAAATAGAATTAATTTGAACCTTGGGCCATGCATGACAGCATGAGTTGAGTCCTATTAGTCGATCAAATTCAGGTCTGGACTCTAATATAATGCTGAGTCGAAATACCATCAATACAAAGCCGAGAGCATGAAAAGCCAAATCTCATAGACTTTGGAACAGTGATTTAAAAGGCACGTCTAGGTGCACAGGCAAGGCACGTTTTTGCTAATATTATACATTATTCCTTCTTAATACAAGACGTTTTTAAAAGAGAGGGAATTATAATTAAAATTACAAAATCAAACTTTTGTGCATGAATTAAGGATTTAGGACTCTAGCATGGATTTATTTGGCCTTGCCTCAAGGGGCTTGGTATAAAGTGGCTCGTAGGGTAATGTGATTGAGAAAGAAATAAAGAGATTAAAAGTTTCATGTGCTTGAATTGTTGAGTGCATATGCTTTATTTGTTATATTTAATTTTTTTTTTTACATTTTTACTTCAAATGTGCATTATATCTTACATTTATATAATTAAACTTGAGTTAATAATAGGCTTTTTAAAACATTTAGTTTAAAGTATATGCATTCCTTTAAATAATACTATTATTTATTTATTTATTTATTTTTTCTGTTTTTTTTTTGAATTTTTTGAATATATTTTTTTAAATTTCCGCCTTGCTTCAAAAAGGCACGCGCTTTGCCTTGCACCTTGTGTCTCGGACGCAAAAAGTCCCTTGTGCTTTTACAACACTGCTTTTGTCTTGAGTTGATCCATCATTTCACTTGAATCATGCAAGGGTTGGTCAACTTATCTTTCTTTCTTTTTATAGGAGACTGTAACTTTCTTTAGTTAATAAGGATGAATTACAAATGATAATGCTGAAGACGGGTTTTCCCCAACAATCGGAAACAAGCCCTTACAAAACTGCCCAAAACAGTACCCCTACTTGTCCCTTGTTTAGCTAAGATATCAGCCATGCCATTTGCTGATCTCCTAACCCATCTATTGACAACACCAATCTCCCTTGCTAAACTTCATATCTGCCTTATAACCTGTTTATGAGCCCAAGCTCCCAAACAATTTATTTGCAGGGTTGCAGCCACCCTATTAACAGCTTAGAATCACCTTCTACTTCAATCTGTCTTAGTCCCATCTGTTTATCCAACCTTAACCCTTGACGGTGTGCCAAAGTTTCTGCCCTTAGAGAATCCACCTCCTCCACAGATCCTGAGAATAATGCCAACACTTTTCCTTAACGGTTTCTTACAACACACCCTATGCTAGATGGTCCTGGGTTACTGTAGAGGAGATGGGCCGAATGGCCCATAGGCTATCATTCTATGTTATGTTTATGTTTTCCTCTGTAATGGGCCTTATTCTGGGCTCATACTCTTATATACTCTGTTTTTGTAATTTCTTGCCCACCCAAGGACCTCTCTGTATTAACTTAATAAAATGTTTTAGAGTGTTAGAGGGAAGTTTAGTTCGAACCTCTCACTCTTTAACTCTCATTGCCGCCAGCTCTCTCTCTCTCATCTTCTTAATCTTCTCTTGTTTGTTTTCTAGTTTTGCATCTAATCTCAAGCAGTTCTATACTTCAAGAGGGTTGTTTTCAACTTGGTATTAGAGCAGGCCAGAGCTTGGCATGACCCTCATGTGGTTCTAGTCCATCCGACTGCATGAGGATGTTCTAGGGTT